AAGAAAAAAAAAGAACATATTTGTTCAAAAGATCTTTCTGCTGACGGTTAAACGATGGACTATGTTACGATTATTATTCTTTCGATGGTTGATTATTTTCATATATTTCATTTTTAGATTATTAATCTACAGTTCTTTGATATTTAGTGAGTACATTTGATCTTTTAATTGTTGTATCCTTGCGATAAAATGAAGGGTGCATTGAAAATCGATGTTGACGTATCTATGTACGTATCAGTGGAATCATTGAAAGATTCTCGCGTCATAAATGAGATTTCGAAAAAAGTAATCGATATTTTAAAGGAAAAAGGACAGAAAGCACGTTTAAGTGCCGTTGAGAAAGCTAGTAAAAATGCTGTTTCTCTTCTTTTATCGAAGAAGAAAGGAAAAACAGCTTCACTTTTATTTGTTTATTTACCACTGAATGTATTAGAATCGTTACGTGATACAGTTGTGCCTACTGTTTCATCCGATGAAGATTCATCGACAAGAAGTGTTAGCGAAGATGATGATATTGAAAGTGATAGTTGTGACAGTCAAAATTCACCATATGATTCTCATAGTCGACATATTTCTTTCTCAATGTGTGATGAAGTAATGAAAGTAGATATGACATTTGAATATTTATTGTATTATTTCAAATATTCTCTTTCGACGAACAACAGAGCAATGAATATTGATAAAATTCTTTCTGATATATGTACATATGTTTTTCTTGAACTGAAATGTTCGGTACATATTCGTAAATTAAAAAAAGAAATAAGCTTACAAATAAGTCATATCGTTCAATCAGCACGTGTTCATGCTGCTGGTAAAAGTGTAATTCGTATTCTACGTAAGATTAGTAATTTTACTTTATTTTTTAAGTTCATTAATCCTTTGACTGAAGTACAGTCAATTGGAGAATTTATTCAATATCGAAATAAGGATAATTTAAGTCCTATTCTATGGATTCGTAAAACCAATGATGAAACAGATGTTTTTCAATTTTATCCATCGTTAGACATGGTAGAAATAACATTTAATGATATTTTTGTAAAGAAAACTTTGTCTTCGTTTGATGTATTTGGAACTATAGATGTCGATGAACTTTCTTATCTTATTAGTGAATGTGCTTTGACTTCCGATCTAAAGTTAGATATTCTAACTCTTGAAGAAGCATTTAAAACAAAAATCTTATTTGATTGTACATCATCTAATTCTAGTTCTTGTTTTTCAACTATAGTTGGAAAAGTTGAACAAATAGATGAGCTTCGAAACGATGGTGATCAAATTCCTACTAATGACTCGCTTTCTTTTAGTGAAGAAGAAATAGATGCTATTATAGGTCGAACATATACTACACGAGGTATTAAACGTTCGTACGAAGAAGATCCGATTGTAATCGAACCAAACAAAAATAAGTATCGACAAAATAAAATGATCAAAGATAAAAGAGATTTGTTACATTTAAAAGATACTTATTATCTTACAGATGCTGCTTTAAAAGCTATATTTGGATATGTTCAAAGTAAAAAAAAAATTTTTTCTTTAAAAGAAATCGAACGACTTAGAAAAAAAACAAATAGTAAATTTCCTATTCTACATACTAAAACAAGTGCATATGTTAGATTTGAATATGCTGTACGTACAGCCATATTTGTTGCACGTAAATACGAACAGAAGCTCGATCAATTCGACACACTTAATATCCGTTTCAATATGGATGGTACATTGATAGGAAATAAACATATCGTAGCAATATCTATCAATTGTATTGAAGGTGGTAGTCAATGTCAATCCGCTAAGAATCTCATTCCGCTAGGTCTTTTTGAAGTACAAAAAGAAAATACAGAATTACTTCGTCAGAGTTTGCCAGCTGAATTTATAAATGATATTAAATCTGTTAAATATATTTCTATAGGAGAAAAAAATATCAGTATTCGTGTTCGACTTGGAGGAGATTTGATGAATGCTGTTTATGTGTTTGGACTTGCGGGATTCAGCTCTAATTATCCTTGTATTTTCTGCACGCAACATAAAGATGATCTTTATGTAACTGACGACACAGTTTATGATAAAGTAGTAACAGAAGGAAAAGGAAAGAATAAGCAAACTTTTACTATTCGTATAGGTCCTACTTCGTATCATGATTCAACTAAAAAAGCACGTTCTCTTGCTGAACAAACTCTATGTTTAGCAAAAAATGTAAATGAATTAGGTTATAAATGCGAACCTCTTTTTGGAGATCTTTTCGATTATCAAGATTACTGTGTTGATACGCTTCATATGAAACTAAGAGTTTTTGATGTTATCCTAAAAGATATTTTGGCTTATGCTTCGCGCACCGGCAAATATGGTGGTGAGCATTTAGCTATTCTCGGGCGTAAAATAAAGATTTTAAATCAACATTGCGAAAGAACTGTAGGTAAACGTTTTTTCTTTCAAATTGATACTGATGATAAAAATAAAACTATTTCTTCTCATGGCAAACTATCAGGTCATCTTCAAGATCTTTTTTTTATTGATAGTTTTCCTTATGATGATATTCTGAATGACGAAATTGCCAAATCGGCTCGAATAGTTGTTAATAAATTTAAAGAAATTCTTGTTGAGGTTAAGCATACTTCTATCAGGCAAAAAGGTGTTCTTAAACGTTTATCGCTCGAATTTGTTAAAGAATTTCGTCAAAGTAATCTCCGTACCACTGTTACTCCTTATATACATATAATCGGTAATCATCTATATGAATTTGATGAATTCAATAACCTTG